TGGTGAAGCCACCAAGATGTGTTTGAAGTGTGTCATAAAACAGATTAGACCAGGATGTACAGCTCAGTGTAAGGACCTGTGCTATGAGTTCATGTACTTTTAAAATGTGTTTCTACAGCCTGGAGCCAGAATGGGCCACTGCAGCCACAGAGGTAAAGGAGCAAACGAAGGGGAAAGTAAAGCTGGCAGCCGTGGACGCTACGGTGAACCAGGTCCTGGCCAACCGGTATGGGGTGAGTATGCTTAAGGCTCATTTACTTTAAGAGATACTCAAAACTTCCAACAGCTGTTTGACTCCTGCCTCCCTTCCAAGTTGGCAGGGAGATGTTTAACCATTTTACATGAAGACATGGTGTCCCTCACTGTTGAGTCTGGAACTTGGGGCTTGTGGGTCTGTGCACCATCACTCCACTTGGCTTTTGCTTGCCCTGGGTTTTAGTGATTTATTCATCTTGCTTTGGGAAAGTTGATCCTCTGTTTCTGGAGTATACACACTGTATTCAATACCCAGAACTTGGACAGGGTTTGACTGAACTCCACAATTAATGAACCTCTGACTATACTTCCAGCTGGGAAATCCCCCACCCCAGTTTTGTTGATTTAAGCAATGACTGACATATGCTAGGCAAATGGTCCACCACTGTGCCACGTTCCCGGCACTTAAGTATTTATTTTTGAGGTAGTGTCTCATTAAGTGGCCCAGATTGGCCTCCAACTTGTGATCCTTGCTTCAGCCTCTCCAATAACTGGAATTACAGGTGTGTGCCCATGCTTGGCTGGAGCATACTTTTGTGATGGTGAAATGTCTATAGTTTTAGAAAAACCATAAAGATTGTGGGCTTATTGTTATTCAATCAATGTTTTATATATTATGGTTGTTATTGTACTTTAATAGATTAGAGGATTCCCTACAATCAAGATATTTCAGAAAGGCGAGGCTCCTGTGGACTATGATGGTGGACGGACAAGATCAGACATAGTGTCGAGGGCCCTGGATCTGTTCTCGGATAATGCCCCTCCTCCAGAGCTGCTTGAGGTAAGTGCTGCCCCCTGCTGGTGAGGAAGCTGCTTTTATTCAGATGAGCTCTGCCTTTCTGTGTTTTGTACAGTTTGACCATTTACCCCAGGCTAGCCTTGAATTCACAGCAGTCTTCCTGTTTCAGCCCCACGAGTGCTGAGGTTATAGGCACATGCCCCAGTGATTAACCCCTTTCTTTGATTTACTACTTTTCCTGAGTTTCTGGGATTAAAATACTTACACTGTGAATTCAGTCTCACTTGAGCTGTAAGCTCTGCCCAGTAGTGCAGACTCTTTTCGTTCTCACAGACACCAAAAGCCTCGCCCTGTGTAGAAACCTTATACACAGACATGTGACCTGTTGGTACAGCTGTGGCAGGCCAGGCCAGGACATTGCACTTTCAGAGACTGCTTAGGTGGCTTAGGAAGGAATGTTGGCACGTACTTCTAGAGGGTTCTAGATGACACATCTGTGCGAGGAGGCATCGTGTGGAAGGACTCTCTGAGTGTCGCCTTGCACAACTGCCCTGTCTTCTGTACGCAGATAATCAACGAAGACGTGGCCAAGAAGATGTGTGAGGAGCACCAGCTCTGTGTCGTGGCCGTGCTGCCCCACATCCTGGACACTGGTGAGCACAGACTGGTTCTCGCAGCTGGCTGCTCAGAGTGCTTCCTGAGTGAGATGATTTTATTTCACCTTCAATGTCTTTTGTCTGTAAACCAGGGGCCGCAGGCAGGAACTCTTACTTGGAAATTCTTCTGAAGCTGGCTGACAAATACAAGAAGAAGATGTGGGGGTGAGTTCTGAAGCTGTCTCCCCTGAGAACGGGGTGCAGGCCTCCTGCCTCTCTCCTTGTGTTCTCTGCAGTGTGCATCTGTGTTTGCCTCTGCTTGTGCTTGTCACTAGCCTGTTGCTTACCAGCTGAGACCCAGAGTATGCCCAGTGACCTAAATTCAGGTGACACAGGAAATCCATGTGACTCAGTGGACCACCTTGTAGGATCTAAGCACTTATCTATCCTACGCTCCTAAGATATAAATGTAACTCTAGATTCTAATCCAAAAGGCATGCTTGCCCTAAAGCCAGTCTGCTTTCCCAGGTGGCTGTGGACAGAAGCTGGAGCTCAGTCTGAGCTGGAGAATGCACTGGGGATTGGAGGGTTTGGGTCCCCTGCCATGGCAGCCATCAACGCTCGCAAAATGAAATTTGCTCTTCTCAAAGGGTCTTTCAGTGAACAAGGCATTAATGAGTTTCTCAGGTAATTCTTAGTTGTTTATTGTCTCATCTGTTGTGTTTTGTTGGTTTATATTGTTTTGCGTAAGCCAGGCAGTAAGTGGAACTCGATTGCATTTAAAACATAAGCATAATTGGATGTTTATAAAATTGAGCTTTAGAGTCATTACTCTTTCCTGTGGCAGCACTGTCTCCCTGCCTTACTTGTCATATTGCACACCATCTGACCTCATTCTAACTGTGAGGTCTTACGAGGTCTTGTTCATGATCGAGGGTGCGGTGTAGTGTGTCTCACCATTCCCACCCTTCCTATGTACTTGGGATTACTGACCTCAGGGCAAAGCCCTTGAAGGCTTTGGAATGTATGTGAAAATGAGACAAACATGATGGGCTCTTAACTCAAAAGCCAGTTTGCAGAGCTCTCCATCCTGCCCTGCTGTTCACCTTTTTCCTAAAACTCAACTTAACACTTCTTGGGCAAATACAAGGCATTGACCTAAAGAGGTCAATTGTGTTTCCTGTTCCTGCTTTCTTCCTTGTTCATTTCTCAGCATAAAACTAAAGAACCCAAAATAAAAGACAGGTTTTAGCCTAGCACAGTGGTGCATGCATGTTGTCTGTACACTCAGGAGGTGGAGGCAGCAGGGTCAGAAGTTCAAGACCAGCTTTGGGCTACAGTAGCCTCAAAACGCTGGGCATGGTAGAGGCTAGAGGATTAGGACTTCTCACTAATAATATTTTTAGTAGCCAGATTATGTAAGTACTTTTCAAGTATAGGTGTTCGTGTCTTACTGGTAAGTACTTTATGTATCTGTATTCTCCCGGTACCAGGCTGGGTTGGTTGAAACCATTCACCTCACTTAGTAATGTGTTTTGCAAACTCATGGGCTTAGCAGGCAAGGGTCATGGGCAGCCTTTCATGTTTTATTCTTTAAAACAGAAAGGACTTAGAAGTAGTGCTTGACTTTGTGGGTGCAAGACACACTGCATTTTGACAGTTTGTTTATTCATTGGAAGTACATATAAATGTGTTTGGTATTTTTTTCCCCAAGGGAACTGTCTTTTGGACGTGGCTCCACAGCACCCGTGGGAGGTGGTTCCTTTCCTGCCATCACTGCCAGGGAGCCCTGGGATGGTAGAGATGGTGAGGTGAGTGGCAGCAAGGTCTTCTCTCCCCAGCTCGTGTGTCTCTGTGCCTGGAAACCAAGTCCACTATCAGACCAAGGGCTGTGCTCCTGCTGTCCTGCCTGGGGCATAACCAGCATGCACCATGCCTGGCTGGCTTCAGTTTTAGAGGAAGAAGACTGTTCTACTAAAATCATGACTTAGAGCTGGAGAGGTGGCTCAGCAGTTAAGAGCACTGGCTGCTCTTCCAACAGGGCCAGAGTTCAATGCCCAGCACCCACATGATGGTTCACATCTGTGTGCAATCTCAGTGCACTCTTCTGGCCTCCAGGCATTCCATGCACATGGTGCACAGACATACATGCAGGCAAAAATCACAGTATAAAGGTCAGGTGAGCTTGACTTCATGCCTATAAATTCATACTATACCATTTGAAAGGCTAAGGCAGGAAGATTGCCATGAGTTTGAGGCCAGACTGAGCTAGAGAGTGGAGCTGTTTAAAAAACAGAAAGACCAGGTGAGGTACATGTCTGCAGTCAGCTGTGGGAACCCAAGGTGGAAGAACAGTGAAGCCAGCCTAGGCTACATTTATAGACTTTGCCCCTATACCTGCCCCCACCCCAAGCTGTCTGGTTTCCCATCAGTGTTATAACTGGTATTAAGAGCCAGGCTGGAATCCTGGAGTCTGTTTTTCTGTGGAAACCGTTAGTTATTCGAGGCTCTAACCTACCTTTCTGTCCCAGCTTCCTGTGGAGGATGACATTGACCTCAGCGATGTGGAACTTGATGACCTGGAGAAGGACGAGTTGTGAGGCCACAGCTCAGCCTTCCAATGTCTTTTCTTGGGAGCGGGCAGTTTTCCGGCAGTGAAGGCTCTGGTCAGCTGTCTGCCCTTGGCCTTTCCGAGCAGCACTTGCTGGCTGGCCGGCCACTAAAAACACTGCAGCAGTGAACCTCGGCGTCTCAAGAAAACACTGAAGAATTCTATGAATTGTAGCAGTGAATTGGATTGCGTTCTTTGGTATATTTTGAAGCAAGGTGGGTTGTTGAAACATTTTCCCTCCTGACTGCTGCTTGAATGTTCTTGGAAGCTGTTTCTTATATATAGGGTTTTTAAAATGTGATTCCTTTGTTTGAATATTAATGGCTTTTTCCATTAAAGAATAAAATGATATTTTGGACAATGCTGATAAATGTATGAAATTAGTGGCACATCATAAAATCGGAGTCTGGTGGTTAGCCTGAAAACTAACCCTGTGCACTGATGACACCACACCACAGCTTCCTGTAAAAGTGTTTTTAAATATGAAGATAAGACCAGGCTGGAGAGATGGCTAAGCCATTAAAGGCTAGACTCACAACCAAAAATGAAGACAAGACCTTTTGACAAGGGTGTGGTTCTGTGTGGTAAACTTGGTACCGAGGGAGAACCACACTCATGCCCCAAACAAAGTCTTGTCTTCGGGCTTCACCAGTGACAAGGAGGCTCAGGTTTTCAACATTCTCACTGATTTCCCATTAAACGTCTCATGAAGACAAGAGCCCAGTGGATTACCAAGCTATTTTCACTTTGTGTAAAACGCTCAGGAGACAGTTTGGAGTTATGTTAGAACACCAGAAAAGCCTCAGAACTGAGCATTTTATTGTAACTTAAAAAAATAAATACACTCTAACTAACGTCTTTGAGTTTTTCGTGAGTCAGGATCCTGCAGGACTTGGTCGTCTGGCTGTGAGCAAGGTAGGCTGCAGTGACACAGGCTGGCCACCTAGTCCAGGAGGCTGAGGTCGATGTGGAAGTACACGTACGGGAAATAGTCCTGGTTACTGAGCTGCAGTCCAGGGATTTCCACAGAGGCCTATGGAGGGAGCAACGGCAAACACGGGTCTTGTTTCTAAGGGAGCTCTCTTGGGTTCTGACCACACTTTCTCCTGTGTAGTTGCCCCACCACCATACACCCCTTGAAAGTGTGTGACATCCAAACAGCCCTACTATGGTAGAGTGCACCCGAGTCCCCATAATACCTACATCCAGTATGCTTGCTGCAGCAACCTCATCCAGGTGCCGGAAGACTGAATTGAGCACCTCTCTCAGGCGTTTGGTAGCTGACTTTTTCTGGGGCTGTAGAAGCACAGCCTGGAAGTTTACTGGAAGCCCATACCTGCTCAGACAAGATGGACCAAGTGGGTGCTTTGGCAAAGACAGCCTGGCCAAAGCAGAGGAGCAACTCGGAACAGACAAGTGCTTCAGGATGGAGAGATGTCTCAGTGCTTAAGAGAGAACCTGTTTTTCCAGAGGGTTCCAGCTTGGTTCCCAGTACTTATACCAGGGGCTCACAACTGCCTGTAACTCCAGCTCTAGGGGACCCCATAGCCTCTAGCCTCTTTGGTCACCTGTGCACATGTGATGCTTTAAAAAGTGAATGAATGGCTGTAACCTACACAACTTAGGAAAACAAAACTATAAAAAGGTCCCTGGGCCAGGTAATCAAAGGCTAGAAATGAGACTACTGACTAGGTCTCAGCACTATGCTAACCATTTCCGAAGGTCACAGCTTATGACAAAAACAGGAGCTTGTGGCCCTGGCCACTTGTGCTGGGTCCTTGTATGCTTAGTTGCACAAGCAGCGGATCTGAACTTTACAGGTCACCATTCAGCTATTACATGTGTTGGCTAAAGGAGAACAGAAGTCCTGTCAACGTATATTCCTCTTGCTCAGTTTTAGGGTGTATAGAAAAGATTTTAAGTCTGCCCAATCATTTCCTCAACAATCATTGCCTGGGGTGTTCGTTATTCCAGAACAGTGTTCAAGTGTATCACTGAGCCAAGGTTCAGTGTCCATGCCCTGCCAGTGTGTCTACCCTCTGTGCCCCAGGGGAGTGTCCTCGGGTGCCTTGCTCTCACCTGGCAGCAGGGTTTCCTACCTGCTATGGAAATGAGTCATTCAGGATCTGTGTCAGGAATGACAACTCCCGACCCATCCTGACTTTACTGTGGGCAAAGTAGCCCTGGAACAAGGCCCTTCCCATTCTGCCTACAGATAGAGGCAGACCTCTGGTGCCTCTGCTTTTGTTGGCCAGAGAGGTCCCTATACTGCCTGCCCTCCCTCAAGGAACGTGCCATACTAGCCAGTGGGATGATCATAACATGAAAGTAAGCCCCTGTGAGCGAACAGCCGGTTGATTGTTTAGAGACGGGTGTTTGCTCTCCTGTCCCAAGCTGACCAGAGACTAAGTAATCCTACCTCAGCGCCCTACCCCGCCTCTGCCCAGTACAAGGATTATAGGCATGAGCCACCACACTTCAGGGTCATGTCATCCTCCTACACATCGTTAGCTCTCTTTCAGTGACACCCATCCTGCCAACCCTCCTGTGACAGTTTAGATGAACATCCTGTGCCAGGACATGACTTCATCAGGGCTGGCCAGTTCTACTGCCTGTCCTCAAGGTGACGCCCCAGGATGCTCCTGCCCCAGACTTACCAGGAGAGAAGCAGCCTCCTCTGATGAGGTCGGCCACTAGATGGTGTCTTGCTGCTGCTGAGTCCAGGCTTCCCCACTACTGCCTCATCCCACTAACAATAACTTCGATTTAACATGAACTTGTTCAATCACTATCCCCTGAGAGCCGAATCTGCACACCCAGTGTCCTGTGCCATTTATTCTCCAACCACTGCTCTCCTTTGAAAAACATTTGCTGTTTGATTGCCTTTCCATGAAAACATTGAGAATAATATGTATCTAAACAGTAAAATCTTGTGCTGGGGGGTTGGGGGAACAGGACAACCATAAAAACCTAAATGAGGCCAGGTGGTGGTGGTGCATGCCTTTAATCCCAGCACTCAGGAGGGCCTGTATGGAGTACACAGGTGATACAGGCAGAGCACACAAGTCTGGCAGGAAAGAACAAGCCCTGGAGAGTGGGACACACATGGCCAGCTGGAATTCCTTTGATGAAAAAGAATGGTGATTGCCAAGACACAGCCACAGAAAGCAAAGGGCAGGAGGGCAAGAAGAGAGGTGGGAGCAGAGCATTGGAACTTCTCCTCCAGGCCCTGCCACTCACCTGTCCAGCCCAGCATCCCCACCACGCACCTGAGCACAGACTCCACAAACACTCGCAGAGCCTTTATGTGGATCCAGGCAATAAAGGCCTCACTGAAGTTCACCTTGAGCCAGCGCAGCAGAGGTCCCTGCAGAGATGGGAGAACTACATGAGCCTCCAGACAAAGGCCAAGAAAGGACTCACAGTATACAGAGCAAACCCTGTGACCAGAAGAAAGGCCCGGGAGCCAGCAGAAGCAGAGAAGAGCCTGGGGAAGTTCAGGACCACTGCATGCAGGTACCTGGTACTGGGGAAGCTCTGGGGGCAGCCACCTGCACATGCGAGAGGCCACCTCAGACCAGGGGTGGGAAGCTAGGCAGCTCTTGACCTCAAGACTGTCAAATGAGCTGATAGGCTCTTGTTCATCACTACACAGCCAAGACACTGCCCACCTCATCAGAATGCACTGCCTGCAGGGTCCAGCCCACCCATCTACCAACTGCACCTGCCAGGGGCTCTTCAAGCCTCATCTAGGCCATTGCTGCTGCTACAGTGCCTGATGTGGTTGTTCCTTAGGGGCAGCCCCCATCTGACACTTGGAACTTCTCAACAAGGCCAGAGGTGATCCAGCCAGGGCAGTCAGGGAGGATTGCTGAGCAACCAAACCACCCACCCTCCAGCCAGAGCCCTGCCCATCACCAGACACCAGCTCCAGCCACCGTCAGCCAGAGCACAGACATTCCAGCCAGGCGACAAGCCCCATTCCCTGCCTAGAGAGCCAGCTCCAGGAAGACTATGGAGGCTAGGACAGCAGGATTCCGGGCTACTCCAATTTCAGACTGCACAAGACATAGGAAACAACAGCAAATGCAAAGATTTGTTCCTCAGCTGGGAAGAGAGTTGAGCCGGGGACCCCCAGGGTTTCCAGGGGTGCTTACCTCGCCCTCGCCCTCACTCTCTCTGTCTCTGTCGGTCTGCCCCGCAGCGGGCCTAGCGGGGTTACCTAGCGGGGTTACCTTAACCTTGTGGTCCCGGTAGGTGGCTGATCCCTTTTTAAGAGCAACACAGGATGTTTGCTAAAGGCACAGAAATTACTTATTAATCTTTCAGAAAGCATGTATCATGAACACAAATAATTCTCATGGCCTGGAGGGCGTATGCAAGGAAGCTCTGGAGTTCAGGCTCAGAGAGGGGTGTGGCAGGGGTCCAAGGCCTCTGATTTCAGGGACAGAGACAAACCTATGTGCTTGCCTGGGTCAGGACCCCAACAGCAGTAGACAAAACAGCTTCCAGAAGTATTACTGAACTATCCTGACATAGGGAGCTCATCTGTCTGGGCTCTGACACTCAGGAATAGTTTCATCTGTCGTGTTCATGGGACACTTCAGCATGTCACATATAGGACATTAGTCAGGCATGCACCCAGGCCATTTGACCCCTTATCACCCTGTCTGCAAATGGGTAGAAAACACAGGGTAACTCAACTGTGTGCTCCCAGAGCAACCCAGCTCCTAGCCTCCAGGGCGCCAGTAACTAAAGGATATGAGATGCTTGGCTGTATCCACTCCCAGCCACATCAAACAGGAGAGATTCTCAGGGTGCTAGGGTGGAGGGGGTCCTCCATTTGCCAGCAGTTTCTGAGTATCTCCCAGGAACTGTTTCCCCCACACAAGGAGACTCTAGCAAGTTTTCTGGGGCAGTTGGCACTGCAGAAATCCATGCCATGTAAAGACACCACCAGCTGGCAATCTGAGCCCCAAGGAGAAGGTGGCAGGCTTACTTGTGTCATCCTAATACACAGGGTGGGTACCAAACATCTTACTTCACCTATAGACAGGGGCCTCATAATATGACCCCATCCAGGGATACTGCAGGGACCCAGTCAGGGGAGCGACAATCCAGGAAAAGCCCCACCTAAGGGCAAGGCTGGGCATTTATGATGGACAGGGTCCCAAGAAGCTGAGGTCAGACAATGGCACATGGGCTTCTGTTCTTGTTAGTGACAGCCACTCCTGCCAGAACGTGCCATGTCTATGCCATTGCACTAAGGAGCTGAACACCCTCAGAGGCTCAGGGCCCAGGCCTCCAGCCAGGCCTTTCATCTTCAGGAGCCTCAGCTAGTGTCCAATTGACTTCAGGTCTGGGTAGTGTGGGTGCTGGCTCAGCGCAGACACATGGCATGTGTTCGTCCGTGCATTTAACCCTCCAGGGAGGAGGGTTAAAACTCTCCAACGTGGGGGCTGAAGATGAAGTTGTTGCTAGGTTGGCAGAGTACTTGCCTACCATGTACAATACGCTAGGTTCCATCCCCAGAACATAAACTGAGTGTCGTATCATACACCTATTATCTCAGCACTCCGTAGATGTCATCCTCAATTACATATCAAGTTAGAGGCCAGCCTGGGATACATGAGACATATGTACAACATAGAAAGCCCAGCACTGGCCGGGCCAGGCATTGGTGGCGCACGCCTTTAATCCCAGCACTCAGGAGGCAGAGGCAGGCCTGGTCTCCAGAGCGAGTGCCAGGATAGGCT